GGACTCTTCCAAACGTCATACTAACACATTTATCGTCATTTATAAGAAGGTTCCAGACTGTGGACCAGTCTTTGACTTCATCCATCGCTGATTGAACAGCAACAGGATCGGTGCCCCAAATTGTCACATCGTCGGCATACATTGCGACGTTGTGGCAGGTCATTGATGTATATGAGGAAGAGAAGAGGGCCAAGGGCGGAACCTTGAGGGACTCCATTAGAAATGAAAGAGTCAGATGAGAGCGATGCACTTACGCGGACCGAGGAGGAGCGGTTCGTGAGAAAGTCGTGAAGTAAGGCCAAAGGTCTGCCAGTGAGGCCATATAACTGCAGTTTATGAAGTAATGGGGCATGAGGAACGCGATCAAAGGCTTTTGCGAAGTCGATGAAGATTGCGTGGGGAATCAAGTGTCATCGTGGGCTTGAGTTAGACTGTCCATGACAGATGGCATATTTGATATGCAGGATCTGCCTGGGAGAAAGCCGTGTTGGGTTTGGGAGACAAGATAGTGATCTGATAGGTGTTGCTCGTTTTAGGACCCGTTCAAAGACCTTACTGGGCACGCTAGCCAGGCTGATGGGTCTATAACTACTTAGAGTGTGTCATGTCATGTCGTCTGGTCCCATTGAGCTGAAGGGATTCAGGGATTTGAGAACGGATCCGGTCTCCCCTAGAAGAATGAGGAAATGTTATAATGTAGGTGGTACATTAAGAGAGGGAAGATTGTGGTGGGAGGAGACAGGAGGGAAATTAAAGCCGGATTTGTTATGAGAACGGAAGATCTCTGCAACCTGAGCATAGGACGTTGCAGAGGAGGCATCAGGTGGCTTGAGGGCTAGTGTCAAGGAGGTTGGTTACTTTTTGTGGCGGAGTGATTTAAATAAGGAATTGGGGTTATTTCTGGCATGAAGAAGAATTGCTTTCTGTTGTCTGCTGTGAAATTCCCCAACTCGCTGCTTACATAACTTACGGATTTGCTTGAACTCACCAGCATCGGCGTCGAGCCTATTACATTTTGGTCTCGCAAATGGACGGGCCCGCTCGACCATTAGGTGTCAAATGGAGCGGGTTTGAGGAGACTTATTGTCAGATATAGATTGAACTCTAGGAATAACCAGGTGGTCCGCCTCGTGAATTAGGGGTGCACCAAAACTTCTAGCTTTGGAGTGGCATCTGGGCCAACCGATATTCGGGGCGTTAAAGTCACCCAGGATATGAAGGTGTGAGAAAGTGCGGGTGGAACGGAGGTCACGAAACTGAGATAGCAGTAATTGACATTCCTCCTGAGTGCTTGATGGGGAGCGACTAACAACCCCCAGGANGGAGACTTATTGTCAGATATAGATTGAACTCTAGGAATAACCAGGTGGTCCGCCTCGTGAATTATACTCTCGAGCAAGTCAGTTAGATTGTTTTGGTCAGTGTCAATATTGCAGGAGCCACGCCTGCTGCCAGGAAGTCTCGTAAGAGAACGAAATCAGGTTTTTTGAATGAATGTAGCGTTCTGGAAGATGGCCTGCTAGTTGGCCAGCGGATAATATAGTCAATGGATAGCAGGAGGTGATCACTTCTACCAACAGGACTTAGGTACGAGATCATGTCGATCTGGCGTCGTCCGTTGAGAATCGCAAGATCAAGCAAAGAGGGACGTTGACCGACACGGTATCTCGTGGGAGATACTACGTGTTGGAACCACGAGTGTTCGTTGACGAGATTTATAAGGGGTGCACCAAAACTTCTAGCTCTGGAGTGGCATCTGGGCCAATCGATATTCGGGGCGTAAAGTCACCCAGGATATGAAGGTGTGAGAAAGTGCGGGTGGAACGGAGGTCACGAAACTGAGATAGCAGTAATTGACATTCCTTCTGAGCGCTTGATGGGGAGCGCCTAACAACCCCCAGGAAGAGTGAATCCCTGCTCGGGAAGAGGATATTGACCCACAGGTTCTCTATCGATTGAATCTTAGGAAGGGAAACACGCAAAGCAGGAGGGAGGGGATCATTACGGAAGAGGAGCATGTTACTGCAAAAGTAGATGAGGGTAAAACCGTAGAGGTTTGCTACCTGGATTTCAGCAAGGCTTCTTATTCAGTGAATCATCGTCTGCTGTTGACGAAATTTGAACGATTTGGAATCCACGGACAAATGCACAGTTGGATAAGTGCTTTTCTCTCACAACGATCATTCTATATGACGGTTGGTGAGAACAGGTCCACACCAGTTCAGCTGACTTGCGGAGTTCCACAAGGCTCAATGTTAGGGCCGCCTCTATTTTTTCTCTACATAAACGACTTGCCATGCACGCTGATATTATCGTGCTACATTTTTGCAGATGACGTCAAAGTGGTTGGTTTGAGTGGGAGAAATGAGCTGGAGCGCGATTTGAGCAGATAACTTGATGGGCAACGGAATGAGACCTACGTATTAACGCTACCAAGAGTCAAGTGCTCACAGGGGCACTTGACAGAATGATAGTTCACTCGGGAGAGCACGAATTCGCTATCGATCCCAGTAAAAGGTTTAAGGACTTGGGGGTCATGATATCGAACAACTTTAAGTGGTATGACCAATGTTCAGTAGCGGCACGCAGGGCTAGAGGGGAATTATTTAGTCTACGGTTGGTTTTAACATGCGGAACACCGGAAGTCTTCATTCTCATTTACAAAGCCATAGTCAGACCACACCTAGAGTATTGTGTACAGGCTTGGGCACCCTTATTCAAGAAGGATGCTGCCTGTTTAGAGAAAGTGCGGAGATTGGCCACAAAAATGTTTGAAGGCTAGAGGGGAAAAACATACGAGGAAAGATTTGAGGCACTTGGGCTTTTCTCATTAAAAAGAAGGAGGCTTCGAGGAGACCTGATAGAAACCTTCAAAATCATGAAGGGAATATCGGGGATAGGAGCGGACACTCTTCACATTAGCTCCACAACACGGCACTAGGGATCAGGAGCTCAAGCTCAAGAAGCAGATATGTCGACTAAACATGAGGAAGCACTTTTTCAGCAATAGGATAGTCGACAGTTGGAACCGGTTTCTTAGGAAATAGTCGACCTCCAAACAGTGCAAGCATTTAGGACTGCAATCGATAAGGGATGGGTGAAACTATTCCCATCACTGGCAGTGTAGACGAGTGTAGGTGTGCCAAATGTTTAGGATGCCCTTTCCATTTTTACTGATACACGCATGGAACGCTCGCGTCTAATA